TACGACCCAGATTACTTCACCCCTTGGATAAACGAAATCCTGAGACAGCGATACCCCTGCCACACTGAGAATCGACTATGTCCTCGGAAGTTCCACTGCGCCACCTCTAGCGACCCCCGGTGCTCTGATTTCCCGTCTCCCGACCATACCTACTACTTCATCCACCCGGGATTTGATGTCATCACCAACAGCTTCCCTCCCTTCCGCCTTCTTCTTCCGTACCATCAACTGAGTGTCGTTCCGTGGCCGGCCATAGCCCCCTATTGACCCAGCACACCCTGCGGGAACTGCCGACGGCGCGACGATCAAAGAACCCCAGAGTTCCGAAGGCCTAGCCCGCACGGGCGACGACCAGCGCCACGTGGCAACTCCCGACAGACGAACTCATCGAAACACCACCTACCCCGAAGGGACCAACCCCGAAACCTTCGTCCCCGAAACCAATGGCTCGCTCGGTCCTGAGCGAATCGCGCTGGTAACCCGAAAACGCCCTCTTCGCCAAATTGCACTCGTGCCCCCGAAAGACCCTGTCATAGGAGATCCTTGTTCTGACCTGGGACTCCACTTTCCCCAAAAATCCTTAGCACACCCCTTTTCGCATTTCCAGGCCCACATCCCACTCCGATCAGGAAGTCGCGTTGGGCGTGAGGTTTGGGCATCACATGCGGCACCCGCCACACGGGGTCGCGCACGGCCACACACGGACATGTCCTCGTGCAGGCCGATAGAAGGGCCTGGATCACAGCCCCGGGCCGACTTGCCTTTTTCGGGAAACACCCCGAGGGGATTTCCTATTCGGGCTTGTCCATCCGTTTCCAGTGCCGATAGTCAAGGCCAGCGGTGGGGTCCCAACAAAACGCGGCAAGTTCTTTCCAACCACAGTTGGCTGTTTTTTGTGGCCAACATCAGTTTCCAGCCACGAGGCAGTGGGGTCCAGGCCTTACCCAGTCAGAAGTTTCAATTCCTTACAAGTATCTCAACCTGCAGTTGTCAGAAGAATTCACCGAGAAAAAGAGCAGACGAGAGTTCAAGACCTCACAAGAGTACCTTGCTGCCCGAACTGACTAGTGCCCTCTACCTACTTGGGCCCCCTTCTTATCCGGGACCCTCAACAGGGCCCTGTTCGGGAAATACCTGTCCCATCCCCTCACACAACTCACCCTCGAGAGGGCAGGCGAGTTAGCAATTCTCTGACTGACCTCATTTGGTCGTCGTATCTGGCCGGGATATTCCCCAAAGTCCGATGTATGCCCTCGGCATCAAAAGATCACTCCATCGAATCTCCTTCTACTTAGGAGGAAACCTTTGTGAGCGAAATTAGGAATAAAAGGGGCCATATAGTTCAGAAGGATAGCGTTGCTGTAGATTTAGGCTTGGATCCCACATCGCGCTTTTAACAAAAAGTCGGAAAAGTCCCGTAGGAGCAGGGACCTTCCGGTTCGCACCGTATAATTTTTTTTGGACCCCACAGGCCCATCCTTCGAGGGGCTTTCGCAAAAAGCCTGCCGAAATATGTTGGTCCATTTGCGTCGGACCCAATCGCGCTGCAGTAAACGGAAAAAAAAAAAAAAAAAAATGTTTTTTTGGTGCTCGCTGCTTTTAGGGAACAGGGTACGGGGCTGGCGGCTTTTAGGGATCAGGGAAAAATCGAGGTCTCATCGCGGCGAGTGTCACGGTACGATTGACACGACAGGTACACCGAGTAGAAACAGCCGAATTTTATTTCGGGTCCCGAAAGCCCAACTGCATTGTGGGATCCGAAATTTTACCCAAAATTGCCTCACTAACAATAGTGGGATCCAAGCCTTAAATCACTAGTACCTGTGTCACTGTTGGGAAATTAGGGAAAACTGGCAGTTTTCCCATTTTCCCCGCAGACTTCGGACGTCAGGTAGGTTCGGCAAATGCAAAAGTTTCCCGAAAAAAAAAAAAAAAAAAAAAAACGGCCAAAGGCGGATCTCGGTCCATTTCCAGTCCAACGTAGGCAGACCGGAAGTGGAAACGGTACCGGCAGCAGCGTGGCGGGCCACCGTCCGACCAACGGTCATCCGTGGCTGGTTTTCGGAGGCAGCGACCGCCGGATGGAAGCAAATCCGACGTGCGGCCTGAAGCAAACTTCCG